CCGATAGACTCATTTAGTTTATACTCTGGAAGTAAAGGAGGTCATACATGAAACCAAACTCGGTATAATTTTAACACATATATTGCGATTTAAGATTTAAGTCCCCTTACAGCTTGACAGTACAATAAATAATAAATTAAATAACAATAAATACAATACTCCTTCGGCATCATGGATAAAAATTATCCAAAGCATTCACACCTAGAGCCCTATGCAAATCGTTCAAAACATACATCTTCGTCGGCTTCCCATTAAAAACATATGGCTTCTGCAACGTATGCACAACAGACTCCGTCCTCTGTGGCGTTTGCTGCGGCTTCTCTTGAAACACGTCCTGAAACAATTCTTGGGGCTTCGTCGGCCTATAGAGCCCATTACTTGAATCCCACTGGTCGACCCAAACAGTCGACGGCTTCCCGTTGCCCAAGAAATCCACCGGCTGGGGGTGGAACGAAGACATCGTGTGGGAGTGGAACGAAGGCATCGTGAGCTGCGGCTGCAGGTTGTAGCGCAAACTCGAGGTGTACATGGGGGGGGTCTGCATGGGCATGTTCAAGTAGGTCACGGGGGAGTTGCAGGGGTCGAAGGATTGCTGTTGGGGGTTGGTTCGACTTTCGAGTGGGTAGTTGTACTGAGGGGCGAAGTAGTCTAAGGAGCGACGGGTTCTGCAGGGGTGCATGGCGTAGGGGGAGAACGGGGAGAGGGTCTTGGAGGCGGCGAGGGAAGCCAGAGTGAGGAGGAGGAAGAGTGTGTACATCTGAAAAAACAAAGACATTTTAGAGTTTTGTGACACTATTGTGTGACCAAAAATCGAAAATTCGAAACATCGAAATCATAAAAATTGAAAAATCAAAAAACCGAAATGTGATATTTAAAAAAACCGAAAAAATGAAGAACAAACCTGAAAAATCAAAAAATGGGAAATCGAGAACTAGAAAATCAAAGAATGAGAAATCAAGAAATCGAAGAATTTAAAATTTAAACAGTCGAAAATAAAATTTCAAAAAATTGAAAAAAATTATAAATCCCTAAACTCAAATATCGAAAATTTGATAAATCGGTAAACTGAAAAATCGAAAAATTGGAGTATCGAAGAAAAACAGAAAAATTAAAAAGTCGAAAAATCGAAAAACCGAGAACTCCAGAAATCAAAAAATTGAAACATCGTAAAATTAAAAAATTGAAACATCGAGAAATCGAAACAACTCAAAATCGAAGAATCAAAAATTGAAGAATTGAAACATTTTAATGTAAAAAAATCGAAAAACTGGAAAATCAAAAAACGTGTAGTCGAGAAATGGAAAACTTTTAAATTAAAAAATCGAAAAATTTAAATATCAAAAAATGAACAATTGAAAAATTGAAAAATCGCTAGACTCAAATATCGAAAATTTGAAAAATCTGGAAATCCAAAAATTTTTTTGCATCGAATCGAGAAATGGAAACTTCGAATAATCGAAAATATAAAAGGTCCTAAAATCAAAAAAAATAAAAAATCAAAAATGTGAAATTTAAATAATCCATAAATGTAAAAGAAAACTTGAAAAATCAAAAAATGAGAAATCGAGAAATAGAAAAAAAAATTTGAAAAATCTAAAGATGGAAAAGTTTAAAAATCGAAAAACCAACAATTTTTTAAATTGACAAATCGAGATGTCGAGAAATGGAAACTTCGAATAATCGAAAATATAAAAACTCGTAAAATTGAAAAAATTAAAAATCAAAAATGTGATATTTAAAAAAACCGAAAAAATGAAGAACAAACCTGAAAAATCAAAAAATGGGAAATCGAGCACTAGAAAATCAAAAAACGAGAAATCAAGGAATCGAAGAATCTAAAATTTAAACAGTCGAAAATAAAATATCAAAAAATTGAAAAAATTATAAATCCCTAAACTCAAATATCGAAAATTTGGTAAATCGGTAAACTGAAAAATCGGAAAATTGAAGGATCGAAGAACTGAAAAATCCAAAACCTGAAGCAATAAAAAACTGAGGTATCGAAAAATTGCAACAGAGAAATCGAAAGACGAAAAATTGATTAATGGAGAAATCAAAAAATGGAAGTTTAGAAGCAAAAATTTCAAATTTGAAGAATCGAAAAACTGAAATATCGGAATATTGAAAAATCGAAAAATGAAAAAAATCAAGGTAAATCAAACATTTGAAAAATCGGAAAATCCAAAAATTTTTAAAACCGAAAAATAGAATGTCGAGAGAGGAATTTTGAATAATAAACGAAAAGTTAACAAATCGTATAAATGTAATCGAAAAAAATGAAAAATCAATAATGTGATTAAAAAATCCAAAAAATGAGAAATCCAAAACCTGAAAAATCAAAAATTGAGAAATCTAAAATTCTAAAATTTAAAAAATAAAAAAATTGAATTTTAAAAAATCAATTAATCGAAAAATCGATAAGCTGAAATCACAAAAATTGAAAAATTTAAAAACTGAAAAATGAAAAAATCGAAAACTGCAAAATCAAACAACGAGAAATCGATAAATCGAAAAATTAAAATATCAAAAAATTGAGCAATTGAAAAATTGAAAAATTCCTAGGACTCAAACATCAAAAATTTGAAAAATCTGGAAATCCAAAAACTATTAAAATCGAAAAATCGAGATGTCGAGAAATGGAAACTTTGAATAATCAAAAATATAAAAAGTCGTAAAATCGAAAAAATAAAAAATCAAAAATGTGAAATTTAAATAATGGAAAAATATAAAAGAAAACCTGAAAAATCAAAAAATGAGAAATCGAGAAATGGAAAAATCTAAAATTCAAAAAATCAACAAATTGAAAAATCGAAAAATTGAATCGAAAAATTAAAAATCAAGAAATTGAAAAATCACAAAACCGAAATGTCGAAAAACTGGGATAAAATTTGTCATAAACTGAAGAAACTAAAAAATCGAAACATCGAAAAGCTGAAAAATCGAAATATCGGGAGATTGAACAATCTAAAAATCGAAAAAATGAAAAAATCGAAAACTACAAAATTAAAAAAAAAACGGGAAACCGAAAAATTAAAATATCAAAAAATTCCCTAGACTCAAATAATCAAAAATGTGACATTTAAAAAAATCGAAAAAATGAAAAACAAACTTGAAAAATCAAAAAAATGAGAAATCGAGAACTAGAAAATAAAAAAAAACGAGAAATAGAGAAATCGAAGGATTTAAAATTTAAACAATCGAAAATAAAATATCAAAGAATTTAGCAACTGAAAAAATGAAAAATCTCTAAACTTAAATATCGAAAATTTGATAAATCCGTAAATTGAAAAATCGAAAAATTGGAGGATCGAAAAACTGAAAAATCCAAAAACTGAAACAATGAAAACCTGAGGAATCGAAAAATTGCAACAGAGAAGTCGAAAGACGAAAAATCGAAAAATTGATTAATCGAGAAATCAAAAAATTGGAAGTTTAGGAACACCAAAAATTGAAAGTTTGAAAAATCGAAAAACTGAAATATCGGAATATTGACAAAACGAAAAATGAAAAAAATCGAGAAATCGAAGAGTTGAAAAATCTAAAAATATAAAATTAGAAAAATTTATAAATACAAAAATCGACAAACTGAAAAATCTGAATTTAAAAAAAAAATTAAATATCGAAACATTAAAAAATCGTATAATCGAAAAAATGAAAAATCAAAAATGTGATTTTTAAGAAATCGAAAAAATGACAAATCCAAAACCCGAAAAATCAAAAATCGAGAAATCTAAAAATCTAAAATTTAAAAAATCCCAAAACTGAAATGTCAAAAAATTGGGACAAAATTTGCAAAATAGAAACATCGAAAAATTGACGACCTATAAGTCGAAAAATCGTAAAACCGAGAATTCGAGAAATCAAAAAATTGAACCATCGAAAAATCGAAACAATTCAAAATCGAAGAATCAAAAATTGAAGAATTGAAACATTTTAATGTAAAACAATCGATAAATGGAAAAATCGAAAAACTGCAAAGTCAACAAACGAGAAGTCGAGAAAATGAAAAATGAAAAATTTTAAAATTCGAAAAAATAAAACGAATAATTGAAAGACTGAAAATCCCAAGATTCAAATATAGAAAAATTGATGAATCGAAAATTCGAAAAATTGAAGAATCAAAAAATTAAAAAATGCCAAAACGAAAACAGCGAATAACAAATCAAAAACCTAAAAAATCTAAAAATCGAAAAGTCGAAAAACCAAAAAATGGGTTAATCGACAATAAAAAAAATTCAAAAATTTAGAGATGTCAAAAACTGAAAAACTGAAGAAAAGAAAAATTGAAAAATTAAAGAAACGAAAAGTTGAAAAATCGAAAACCTGAAAAATTTTAAAACTAAATTATCCGAAAATTGAGAAATCGAAAAATCGACAATTTGAAAAAATGGGAAATTGAAAAATCGAAAAATTGAAAAATCCCAAAATTGAAATATTGGACAATTGTGAAATAAAAAAATTAAAAAAACAAGAATTGAAACATTGCAAAATTTAAAAATTAAGAACTGAAAACATCAAAAGCGAAACATCGAAAAGCTGAAAAATCGAAAACTCGAAAAATTGAGAAAACGAAAAGTTGTATAATTTTGACTTAAAAATCTCGTTGTCTGGTATCAAAATTCAACACCGGTTCATAAACCAAGTACAAGACTACGTTATTTCACAAAATTTAAATAAGATTTGCTATGTGTAAAATTTGGAGATGACGTCATTATATTGTTGTCTTTTTTTATTAGCGTTTTACCATCGTGCACCGACAGGACAACAATGGGTCCAGTAATTTCGGATATTTTCTGTCTAGATTGACAGCCTACAGACGGAGAGACGAGCGAAAACGGCAGACCCATTTTTTGTACTCAATAGGTCATGAAACGTCGAGAAAACATGCAAGAAGTAGTCATCCGATAGACTCGATTAGTTTATACTCTGGAAGTAAAGCAGGTCATACATGAAACCAAACTCGGTATAATTTTAACATATATATTGCGATTTAAGTCCCTTTACAGCTTGACAGTACAATAAATAATAAATTAAATAACAATAAATACAATACTCCTTCGGCATCATGGATAAAAATTATCCAAAGCATTCGCACCTAGAGCCCTATTTATATCGTTCAAAACAAACATCTTCGTCGGGTTCCCATTAAAAACATACGGCTTCTGCAAGGTATGCACAACAGACTCCGCCCTCTGTGGCTTTTGCTGCGGATTTCCTTGAACCACGTCCTGAAACAATTCTTGGGGCTTCGTCGGCCTATAGAGCCCATTACTTGAATCCCACTGGTCGACCCAAATAGTCGACGGCTTCCCGTTGCCCAAGAAATCCACCGGCTGGGGGTGGAACGAAGACATCGTGTGGGAGTGGAACGAAGGCATCGTGAGCTGCGGCTGCAGGTTGTAGCGCATACTCGAGGTGTACATGGGGGGGGTCTGCATCGGCATGTTCAAGTAGGTCACGGGGGAGCTGCAAGGGTCGGAGGATTGCTGTTGGGGGTTGGTTCGACTTTCGAGTGGGTAGTTGAACTGAGAGCCGGAGTAGTCTAAGGAGCTGCGGGTTCTGCAGGGGTTCGTGGAGTAGGGGGAGAGCGGGGAGAGGGTCTTGGAGGCGGCGAGGGAAGCCAGAGTGAGGAGGAGGAAGAGTGTGTACATCTGAAAAAATTATGACATTTTAGAGTTTTGTGACACTAATTTGTGACTATTTTGTGTTTTAGTAGAGCGCCGCGGTTGTTCGAATAGAGGAACTAATAACGACTAGGAATCGACAGAAGTGGCTACTAAAACACTATCGCCTTATTGAAATGAAGTTTTTCGACTACAAAGAAGTTTCAAGGTGATAAAGTTGCAAGTCACTGGTGATGTTGGGAAAAGTGTTCTTAATTGGAGGAATTGGAACTGGATTGAGTAAAAAGTTGACAGATAAATTGCTGAGTGGTCAAGTGGTCAAGTGGACTACTTACGAAAAAAATCGAAAATTTAGAATTTTGAGAATTGAAAGCCCGAGAAATCGGAAAATATAAAAGTCGAAAAGTCTAAAAATCCGGAAATCCACAAACCGAAAAATCTAAAATTTAAAAAATAGAGAAATTAAAATAACGAAATATTCTTAAAATTGAAATGTTGAAAAATTGAAAAATTGGAAATTTGAAAAATCTGGAAATACAATAATTTAATAATCAAAACAATCAATAACCAATAATAAAAATCGAGATCTCGAGAAGTGGAAAGCTTCGAATAATCGAAAATATAAAAAATCGTAAAATCGAAAAAATGGAAAATTAAAAACGTGAAATTTAAAAAAAAATTAAGAAAACCTGAAAAATCAAAAATTGAGAAATCGGGAAATAAAAAAATCTAAAATTAAAAAAATTGAGACATCGAAAAATTGAACCGAAAAATTAAAAAATCGAAAAACTGAAAAATGCCAAAACCAAAATGTCGGAAAACTGGGACAAAATTTGAAAAATCTAAACATGGAAAACTTGGAAAACCGAAAAATTTAAAATCGAAAAATCTACAAGTCGAAAAATAGAAAAATTGAAAATTCGAAACATCGAAATCATAAAAATTGAAAAATTTAAAAACAGAAAAAAGAAATAATCGAAAAGTGCAAAATAAAAAAACGAGAAATCGAGAAATTGAAAAATTTTAAATTTAAAAAATCGAAAAATTGAAATATCAAAAAATTGAACAAATGAAAAATTGAAAAATCCTTAGGACTCAAATACTGGAAGTTTGAAAAATCTGGAAATCCGAAATTTTTTTAAATCGAAAAATCGAGATGTCGAATAATCGAAGATATAAAAAGTCATCAAATCGAAAAAATGAATAATCAAAACTGTGAAATTTAAATAATTCAAAAGTGTAAAAGAAAACTTGAAAAATCAAAAAATGAGAAATCGAGAAATAGAAAAATCTGAAATTAAAAAAATCCAAAAATTCCAAAAATAGAAAAATTGAATCGAAAAATTAAAAAATCGAGAAATTGAAAAATCACAAGACCGAAATGTCGAAAAACTGGGACAAAATTTGAAAAATCCAAACATGGAAAACTTTAAAAATCGAAAAACCTACAAGTCGAGAACTGAAGAAACCAAAAAATTGAAACATCGAAAAATTAAAAAAATTGAATTTTAAAAAATCAATAAATCGAGAAATCAAACAATTGAAAAATCGAAACATCGAAATCACAATAATTGAAACATTTAAAAACTGAAAAATGGAAAAATCGAAAACTGCAATATCAAAAAAACGAGAAATCGATAAATCGAAAAATTAAAATATCAAAAAATTGAACAATTGAAAAATTGAAAAATTTCTAGGATTCAAATATCAAAAATTTGAAAAATCTGGAAAACCAAAAATTTATTAAATCGAAAAATCGAGATGTCGAAAAATGGAAACTTCGAATAAATCGAAAAATTAAAAATTCGTGAAATCGAAAAATGAACAATAAAAAATGTGAAATTTAAAAAATCGAAAAATTGAAAAATCCCAAAAACGTCAAAAAATTGGGATAAAATAAAAAATCTAAACATGGAAAAATTGGAAATCGGAAAAATTAAAAAATCGAAAAACCGAAAGGCGAATCGAAAAACCAAGAACTCAGGAAATAAAAAAATTGAAACATCGAAAAATTTGAAAATTGAAAAATCAAAAAACCTAAAAAATTGAAAATTTAGAATTTTGAGAATTGAAAGCCCGAGAAATCGGAAAATATAAAAGTCGAAAAGTCTACAGATGGTGAAATCCACAAAACGAAAAATCTAAAATTTAAAAAATAGAAAAATTAAAATAGCGGAACATTCTCAAAATTGAACGATTGAGAAATTGGAAATTTGAAAAATCTGGAAATCCAATTATTTAATAGCAATAATCAAAACAATCAATAATCAATAATAAAAATCGAGATCTCGAGAAGTGCAAAGCTTCGAAAATCGAAAATATAAAATATCCTAAAATCGAAAAAATGGAAAATTAAAAACGTGAAATTTAAAAAAATCTAAGAAAACCTGAAAAATCAAAAAATGAGAAATCGGGAAATAGAAAAATCTAAAATTCAAAAAATCGAGAAATCGAAAAATTGAACCGAAAAATTAAAAAATCGAAAAACTGAACAATGCCAAAAGCAAAATGTCGGAAAACTGGGACAAAATTTGAAAAATCTAAACATGGAAAACTTGGAAAACCGAAAAATTTAAAATCGAAAAACCTACAAGTCGAAAAATAGAAAAATCGAAAATTCGAAACATCGAAATCATAAAAATTGAAAAATTTAAAAACTGAAAAATGGAATAATCGAAAAGTACAAAATAAAAAAACGAGAAATCGAGAAATTGAAAAATTTTAAATTTAAAAAATCGAAAAATCCCTAAGACAAATACCGGAAGTTTGAAAACTCTGGAAATCCGAAAATTTTTTAAATTGAAAAATCGAGATGTCGAGAAATGGAAGCTTCGAATAATCGAAAATATAAAAAGTCGTAAAATCGAAAAAATGAAAAATCAAAAATGTGAAATTTAAATGATCCAGAAATGTAAAAGAAAACATGAAAAATAAAAAAAATAGAAATCGAGAAATAGAAAAATCTACAATTAAAAAAAACAAAAAATTGAAAAACTGAAAAATTGAATCGAAAAATTAAAAAATCCCAAAACCGAAATGTCGAAAAACTGGGACAAAATTTGAAAAACCTAAACATGGAAAACTTTAAAAATCGAAAAACCTACGAGTCGAGAACTGAAGAAAAAAAAATCGAAAAATTTAAAAAATTGAATTTTAAAAAAATCAATAAATCGAAAAATCGAAAAGCTGAAAAATTGAAATATCGACAAATCGAAAAATCTAAAAATTGAAACATCGAAATCACAAAAATTGAAAAATTTAAAAACTGAAAAATGGAAAAATCGAAAACTGCAAAATCAAAAAAACGAAAAAACGATAAATCAAAAAATTGAACAATTGAAAAACTGAAAAATTCCTTGGACTCAAACATCAAAAATTTGAAAAATCTGGAAATCCAAAAACTTTTAAAATCGAAAAATCGAGAGGTCGAGAAATGGAAACTTTGAATAATCAAAAATATAAAAAGTCGTAAAATCGAAAAAATTAAAAATCAATAATGTGATATTAAAAAAAAACGAAAAAATGAAGAACAAACCTGAAAAATCAAAAAATGGGAAGTCGAGAACTAGAAAATCAAAAAACGAGAAATCAAGAAATCGAAGAATTTAAAATTTAAACAATTGAAAATAAAATATCAAAAAATTGAAAAAATTATAAATCTCTAAACTCAAAGATCGAAAATTTGATAAATCGGTAAACTGAAAAATCGAAAAATTGGAGTATCGAAGAATTGAAAAATCCAAAACCTGAAACAATAAAAAACTGAGAAATCGAAAAATTGCAACAGAGAAGTCGAAAGAGGAAAAATTGATTAATGGAGAAATAATAAAATTGAAAGTTTAGAAACAAAAATTTCAAATTTGAAGAATCGAAAAACTGAAATATCGGAATAGTGAAGAATCGAAAAATGAAAAAAAATCGAGAAATCAAACATTTGAAAAATCGGAAAATCCAAAAATTTTTCAAATCGACAAATGGAATTTTGAATAATAAACGAAAAATTAAAAAATGACAAATCCAAAACCTGAAAAATCAAAAATCGAGAAATTTAAAATTCCAAAATTTAAAAAATAAAAAAAATTGAATAGAAAAATTAAAAAATAGAGAATTTGAAATTTCCAAAACTGAAATGTCGAGAAATTGGGACAAAATTTGAAATATTGAAACATCGAATAATTGGAAAACAAAAAAATGGAAAAGTCGAAAAATCGAAAAACCGAGAACTCCAGAAATCAAAAAAATTGAAACATCGGAAAATTAAAAAATTGAAACATCGAGAAATCGAAACAACTCAAAATCGAAGAATCAAAAATTGAAGAATTGAAACATTTTAATGTAAAAAAATCGTAACACTGCAAAATCAAAAAACTTGTAGTCGAGAAATCGAAAAATTTTAAATTATAAAATTGAAAAATTAAAATATCAAAAAATGAACAACTGAAAAATTGAAAAATCCCTACACTCAAATATCGAAAATTTGAAAACTCTGGAAAACCAAAAATTTTTTAAGTCCAAAAATCGAGATGTCGTGAAATGGAAACTTCGAATAATTGAAAATATATAAAGTCGTAAAATCGAAAAAATGAAAAATCAAAAATGTGAAATTTAAATAATCCAATAATATAAAAGAAAACCAGAAAAATAAAAAAATTAAAAAATCGAGAAATTGAAAAATCACAAAACCGAAATGTCGAAAAACTGGGACAAAATATGAAAAATACAAACATGGAATACTTAAAAAATCGAAAAACCTACGAGTCGAGAACTGAAGAAACCAAAAAATCGTAACATCTAACAATTTTCAAAATTGAATTTTAAAAAAATCAATAAATCGAAAAATCGAAAAGCTGAAAAATCGAAATATCGACAAATCGAAAAATCACAAGAATTGAAAAATTTAAAAACTGAAAAATGAAAAAATCGAAAACTGCAAAATCAAAAAACGAGAAATCGATAAATCGAAAAATTAAAATATCAAAAAATTGAACAATTGAAAAATTGAAAAATTCCTAGGACTCAAACATCAAAAATTTTAAAAATCTGGAAATCCAAAAACTTTTAAAATCGAAAATTCGAGATGTCGAGAAATGGAAACTTTGAATAATCAAAAATATAAAAAGTCGTAAAACCGAAAAAATAAAAAATCAAAAATGTAAAATTTAAATAATCGAAAAACATAAAAGAAAACCTGAAAAATCAAAAAATGAGAAATCGAGAAATGGAAAAATCTAAAATTCAAAAAATCAACAAATTGAAAAATCGAAAAATTGAATCGAAATCGAGAAATTGAAAAATCACAAAACCGAAATGTCGAAAAACTGGGATAAAATTTGAAAAACCTAAACATGGAAAAACCTACAAGTCATAAACTGAAGAAACTAAAAAATCGAAACATCGAAAAATTTAAAAAATTTAATTTAAAAAAAGTCAATTAATCGAAAAATCGAAAAGCTGAAAACTCGAAAGATCGAGAAATCGAACAATCTAAAAATCGAAACATCGAAATCACAAAAATTGAAAAATTTACAAACTGAAAAAAGTCGAAAACTGCAAAATTAAAAAAAAACGGGAAATTGAGAAATCAAAAATTTTTAATTTAAAAAATCGAAAAATTAAAATATCAAAAAATTCCCTAGACTCAAAAATCGAAAAAATGAAAAACAACCCTTGAAAAATCAAAAAAATGAGAAATCGAGAACTAGAAAATAAAAAAAAAACGAGAAATGGAGAAATCGAAGTATTTAAAATTTAAACAATCGAAAATAAAATATCAAAGAATTGAGCAACTGAAAAAATGAAAAATCTCTAAACTTAAATATCGAAAATTTGATAAATCGGTAAATTGAAAAATCGAAAAATTGGAGGATCGAAAAACTGGAAAATCCAAAAACTGAAACAATGAAAACCTGAGGAATCGAAAAATTGCAACAGAGAAGTCGAAAGACGAAAAATCGAAAAATTGATTAATCGAGAAATCAAAAAATTGGAAGTTTAGGACCACCAAAAATTGAAAATTTGAAAAATCGAAAAACTGAAATATCGGAATATTGACAAAACGAAAAATGAAAAAAATCGAGAAATCGAAAAGTTGAAAAATCTAAAAATATAAAATTAGAAAAATTTATAAATCCACAAATCGACAAACTGAAAAATCTGAATTTTAAAAAATGGAAAAATTTAAATATCGAAACATTAAAAAATCGTATAATCGAAAAAATGAAAAATCAAAAATGTGATATTTAAGAAATCGAAAAAATGACAAATCCAAAACCTGAGAAATCAAAAATCGAGAAATCTAAAAATCTAAAATTAAAAAATGCCAAAACTGAAATGTCAAAAAATTGGGACAAAATTTGAAAAATCGAAACATCGAAAAATTGGAAAACAGAAAAATTTAAAAGTCGCAAAAATCTATGTCGAAAAATCGTAAAACCGAGAATTCGAGAAATCAAAAAATTGAACCATCGAAAAATCGAAACAATTCAAAACCGAAGAATCAAAAATTGAAGAATTGAAACATTTTAATGTAAAACAATCGAAAAATTGAAAAATCGAAAACCTGAAAAATTTTAAAACTAAAATATCCGAAAATTGAGAAATCGAAAAATCGACAATTTGAAAAAATGGGAAATTGAAAAATCGAAAAATTGAAAAATCCCAAAATTGAAATATTGGACAATTGTGAAATAAAAAAATTAAAAAAAGAAGAATTGAAACATTGCAAAATTAAAAAATTAAGAACTGAAAACATCAAAACCGAAACATCGAAAAGCTGAAAATTCGAAACTGTGCTATGTGTAAAATTTGGAGATGACGTCATTCCATTGTTGTCTTTTTTTATTAGCGTTTTACCATCGTGCACCGACAGGACAACAATGGGTCCAGTAATTTCGGATATTTTCTGTGTAGATTGACAGCTTACAGACGGAGAGACGAACGAAAACGGCAGACCCATTTTTTGTAGAGGTCATGAAACGTCGAGAAAACATGAAAGAAGAAGTCATCCGATAGACTCGATTAGTTTATACAGGAGTGGCTACTAAAACACTATCGCCTTATTGAAATGAAGTTTCAAGGTGATAAAGTAAACAATGTGCAAGTCACTGGTGATGTTGGGAAAAGTGTTCTTAATTGGAGGAATTGGAACTGGATTGATTAAAAAGTTGACAGGTAAATTGCTGAGTGGTCAAGTGGACTACTTATGGAGCGTTTTATGTAAAAAATGTCATGGTAGATAATTTATTTAAGTAGATACGTGGAGTTTCGATGGTGTAGAGTGGGGTTAATGTCTTTTAGACACCCGAAAAACTGGTGGGCCTTCAGTAGAACAAAAATTAGAAAACTGCAGTTCTATGAAGAGCAGAATTTCTCTATTTTATTGTCCATTAAGATAATAAGTGACACTTTTTCCACGAAAATTATCTGTAATTAAATCTGAAGTCTCCGCTAGCTACGAAAAAACTAAACTGTGTCTGTAATTAAGTCACACAGTTACAGAAGCGAGTTTTTACGTACAAATTAATACTGCATTTACTCATCGCTCTTCAAATTTAACCCATATACAGTATGAAACATTTTTGCGTTTATTCTTTGTCGTCTAAATTTAAATGATGTTCACGTCCAACCCGTTAAGAGTTAAAGACCTTGGTTTGGATATTCCAAGTGGGTAACTTTTGCATTTATAATAATTCCTACAAGGCCTTTATCTACTTGAATGGAGTAATATTTACCGAACGGTTTCTCTGTGTGTTTAGGTACACGGAAAGCCGAAAATCATTGTCCCAATAATAATCGAAATGTAAACACGGTGGTCAATTAATATCTTTACTTAAACCGCAAAGAACAAAGCGCAATATTTATATATTTAATCGCAATACTGTTATAACTGTTAAAGACGATGCTACATAATGGTTACGTTTTCACTCGGAATGTTAGTGTTTTACATTTTGACTCATTGGTACCTTAAGTCATTTAATTTGCACCAATTATGTAACAAATAGTAAATAAATAGTTCACTAAGACGTTAAGAGCAAGAACTCGGTCGTGTGTTAGTAGAAGTCTTTCACTTACAAGTCCTAGCATCACTGATAAAAAATAAGAATGACACAGGTCCTAAACTGGAAACTTGAAACTAGGTACGACGAGATTCATTTTCACCGCAAACGACTTTGTATCATTTTCCAAGAAGGAAAATCATGATTAGCACAGATTTGAAAAGCAACAGTGTAGAAAATTATAAAAAAATATTTGATCTACATTTGAGTATAGATATTAAAAAAAAAGTTTTTAGTAAAAATTCCTCCTCACCTTTACCCTTCTTCAGTTCGAAATTCTTCAGCGTTCGGCCTTGCCCGACCTTGAAGCTCGTTTACCCAAAATCGAGATCACTGCTCTTCGTCGAGCGCAAGAAGTGTACTAAATCGCGAATTTAGCGCTCCCAAAGAAGTAAAACGTGCTTATTTAAAACAAACACTGGCGGGGGAATTTTACGGTGGAAACAGGAAACGCATTTCGTTAGCCGGTAAAAAATGTAAGCACGTCCGATATTGGAAACGATACTCTTATTTAATTTTATTTAATTTTCCGGACCGTGGTTTTATTTATCGTGCGTTGCTGCAAGTCTCAGTCAGTTAAATATTTAAATGCGCCGGTGTATTTGGCATTACCAAGTCAGATGGGAGAAATGGAGTTAGTGAAACGAAAGAGTGTGTGTTTTGGTTATCAGGGTGTGAAATGGAAGATTTCGGTTTCGGCGGATTCGGGGAAAAATTAAAATGGATGGTGAATCCGGGTCGGGTCCGGCTGGGTCGGAATTAGAGTGTAATTTTCTTTGATAATGGGTAGGTTGTGGGGGGTGTTTACGGGTCGTAGAAGCGCTCAACAGTGTTATTAATGTTTTTTCTGCGGAAGTAGCGAGGAAGTAAGAGAGCAGAAGACGGTTCAATTGGTGCATTTAAACCGCTAATGTTGTTTAATTACGGATTTTATACTCACAACTCTTAATTATTTCTGCTGGTGTGCTACGTTTGATTTCGAACAATGGCACAGTACTGCAATTGTGTGCAAAAATGACAAAATATATATCGTTTCAAAATTTCTAACGCCCACCCACCCCTACTCCGTTTTGGGGCTATTGCTTCTTTATAAAAGACTCTCTAAGGAAAAGTTAAACTTAGACCCGCCCACCCACCCCGCTGTGTGTTTCAGGGATTTATACTATTCTTTAACGAAATTTATAAAAAATAAATTTAGTTTGTATACCTACTCTTTCAAAATTTCAAAATTTTTGCTATTTCTAATAAAAAGTAAGTCATCACAATAAACATTTGGAAAAGGTATTAATATTGTAAAAACTTGTGAAATACCGGGTGTCTGGAAAATGGCGGATTAACTCTTCAGTGCGTTTTATACGGAGGTTTCGGAAGTCCCAAAAAAATAATAAAAAAGTTCTTTGTGATGTATATTACGAAAATAAACGTAATTTTATAAAAGTAAAATTGGCAACACAGGATACACCTAATGCGTGAATACCTACCTCTAGTTTACTTTTTGATTTCTTAGTAACAATGGTGATTGAAATCCACCTTCGCTTTATATCAGGCATATCAGGCAAATATTGTTGTCAAATGGAATCTTATCAAATTATTACAAAAACAACACAACCATGTCATCGTGCATTCTAACTGAAATGGTAATTAAACATGGTCATGGGCGAGAAAAATATTAACTTAAAGTTTTATTACTAGTTATTGTAATAATGAAAACAAAAGAACCAATTTAAAATTATTATAACTCCAACAAAATATAAGAAGGATTTTTTTTTACTATTTTTCCAGACTTTTCCAGTTAATTGTTAAGAGCGTAGTGGAGAGTTAATCCGCCATTTTTCAGACACCCGGTATAAAGGTGTTAAATTGCAAATTTCCATTGTAACGAGTTAAATTCCTAAATCTACCCGAAATGTGGAAAACATGACGAGTTTGTATTTGTGATTTATCACTGCATTCATATTTTTTAGATTTGCTTATACGGGGTGTCTGAAAAAAAATAATGACTGAGTCAATTAAATCAAGAATTGCAAGACTGAATACTTTGAAATCTTGGACACGTATTTGTCTTAAATTACAAGTACTATACAGGGTGTGCGTGTTATCTGTTCACGCCTGACAATTTTTGCATAGGCTACATATTATACACTCCAGAGACGACTTCGTCCAATTTAATTTTTTTTTGTGCGATTTTACCTATCTCCCAGAAATTCGTTCTAAACAAAAAAAAAAAAAATATAAAATTTTAGCGAGTATACTCTAAGTATTTCACAAAACATTTGGTTGTTTTCGTTACATGTATAGTGTGTAGAACCTCGATAATCCGAATTAATTGGGAAAAAGGTGTGAAATCTGAAAGGGGATTGAATAACAACTTCATACACAGTTGAAAACAAACTTCAAGAAATAAACCTTAATTTGGATTGGATAATAGATACATTCTAAAAAATATTACTCCGTGACTGTAAACACGCTACCTTTTTGGAATCAACACGCCGGGATCTATACCCTGAATTTTTTCAGAATTTTTAAATGCATTTTTCAAAAATTAAATTTTCCATTATGCAAATTTCGACTCATTCTCGACGATTTTCGAAATTGAACTAGATACATTTTCTTGTAGATTTTGGGCCTCAGAGGTCATTTCTGGCTTCATTTCTTCGATAACTTAAACCATTTTTCCAGAGTCGTCCAGTTCAAATATCTAAATTTTTAAAAATTTCGAAAAATTCGAATTTCGCATCGAATTTTCCAAAAATATTGCTCGATTACCATTAACATCCTATATTTTTGGAATCAACACGTCGGGATATACGTATATCCCTTAAAATTTTGTCATCAGAATTTTTCAAAAATGAAATTTTCCTCATGCAAATTTCGACCCATTTTCGACGATTTTCGAAATTTAACAAAATACTTCAACCTTTTTTCCAGAATTAGTTAATTAACTCAGTGCATTCAAATATCGCAATTTTTAAAAATTTCAAAATATTCCATACAACATATCCAAAAAATCTTGCGTAATTTTTACAAGTAGGTGCGTGTTTCCAAGTTCAGTTCGGACTGCAGAGTTTTTGTTCGGATTAAAGAAGCATCGAATTCACATAGCCTCTGTTCGGATTACTGGATGTTCAGATAATCGTGAATTTGGATTATAGAGGTTGTATTTATTGTACAAAATGAAATACGATTTCAAAATTTTCAAATTATCATAATAAAGTACCTCGGCCGTGTGTAATTGCTGCACCCATTGCCCCCCCCCCATCCGCGCCTGGTCTCAACGGGCTTTTTTAAGAATGTAAAACCTTCTCGGGGGTCCCAACGGTCTTTTTTAAAAAAGTAAAACCTTGTCGGAGGCCCTAACTGTCTTCCTTTAAATGTAAAACCTTCTCGGAGGTTCAAACTGTCTTTACTAAAAATTAAAACCTTCTCGGGGGCGCCAAATTTCTTTTTTTTTAAGAATGTGAAACCTTCTCCGGGGTCCCAATGGTCTTTTTTTAAATGTAAAACCTTCTCGGGGCTCCCAAATATGTATTTTTAAGAATGTGAAACATTTTCGGAGGTCCCAACGGTATTCTTTAAAAATGTAAAACCTTCTCGGGGGTCCCAACTGTCTTCTTTTAAATGTAAAACCTTCTCGGAGGTTCAACTGTCTTTTCTAAAAATTAAAACTCTCTCGTAGGCGCCAAATGTCTTTTTTAAGAATGTAAAACTTTCTCGGGGTCCCAACTGTCTTTATGAAAAATGTAAAAGCTTCTCGGGGTCCAAACTGTCTTTTTTAAATATAAAACCTTCTCGGGGGTCGCCGTGGAAATGATTTTTTCTCTCAAACAAATAAACACAGATACAACAGAATTCACAAAATTTTTAGGGGTCCACATTGACTCTGTCCTGGCACCACCAAATTGGTGATCTATGCAAGAAATTATGTAAAAACATCTATTTACTACGTAATCTAACGCGCTGTGTATCCATAGACGTCATAAAAACAGCTTATTTCGCGACCTTCCAATCACATGTGGAATATTCGATAATCCTGTGGGGCCAAACAGGACTATCAGAGCGGGTTTTCAGACTCCAGCGAAGGGTAATCAGAATTATATCAAACCTGAGATATCGCGACGACTGCAAAGAACATTTTAAATTATTGAATCTCCTGAATGTACCCTGTCTGTTCATATACAAATGTTTAGATTATTTTGTAAAAAATCGTAAGAAATTTAAAACATTAAATTCCTATCACAACTACTCTACAAGAGGAAATGACATTTGTCTACGAGGTTTTAGACTGACCAGATTTAGATTAGGCTTTAATTACTATTGTGTTAAATGTTACAATGTAATACCAATCAATATTAGGAATCTTAGTCCTAAGTTGTTCTTAAAAAGGATTAAAGCACATCTAATTGAAAATGCCTTTTATAATATAGAGGAATACTTAACAACTAAGTTTTAAATGAAATGGATTTTATTTCAAAATTACTGATTACCTTTGTTACCATGTATCTCTTTATTTTGTTATGTTAAGTTGTGTAATCCATGTATTTCGTTATTTTGTTATGTTAAGTTGTGTTATGACTTGTGTAAATATTTTTTATATTTTGGCACGAATAAATCTTATCTTATCTTATCTTATCTTATCTTAAATGTGTATTTTTAAGAATGTAAAACCTTCTCGGGGGTCCCAACTGTCTTTTTAAAAAATGTAAAATCTTCTCGGGGGCCCTAATTCTTTTTTTTTTAATGTAAAACCTTCTCGGGGGTCGCAAATGGGTATTTTTTAGAATGTGAAACCTTCTCGGAGGTTCCAACGGTATTTTTAAAAAATGTAAAACCTTCTCGGACGTTTAACTGTCTTTTCTAAAATTAAAACCTTCTCGGAAGCGCCAAATGTCTTTTTTAAGAATGTAAAACCTTCTCAGGGGTCCCAACGGTCTTTTTTAAAAATGTAAAACCTTCTCGGGGGTCCCAACTGTCTTCTTTTAAATGTAAAACCTTCTCGGAGGTTCAACTGTCTTTACTAAAAATTAAAACTCTCTCGTAGGCGCCAAATGTCTTTTTTAAGAATGTAAAACCTTCTCGGGGGTCCCAACGGTCTTTTTTAAAAATGTAAAACCTTCTCGGGGGTTCAATTGTCTTTTCTAAAATTTAAAACGCTCTCGGAGGCGACAAATGTCTTGTTTAAGAATGTAAAACCTTCTCGGGGGTCCCAACGATCTTTTTAAAAAATGTAAAACCTTCTCGGGGGTCCCAACTGTCTTCTTTTAAATGTAAAACCTTCTCGGAGGTCGCAAATGTGTATTTCTAAGAATATGAAACCTTCTCGGAGTTCCCAATGGTCTTTTTTAAAAATGTAAAACCTTCTCGGGGGTTCAATTGTCTTTTCTAAAATTTAAAACGCTCTCGGAGGCGCCAAATGTCTTGTTTAAGAATGTAAAACCTTCTCGGGGGTCCCAACGATCTTTTTAAAAAATGTAAAACCTTCTCGGGGGTCCCAACTGTCTTTTTAAAAAATGTAAAACCTTCTCGGGGGCCCCAACTGTCTTTTTTTAAATGTAAAACCTTCTTGGGGGTCGCAAATGGGTATTTTTAAGAATGTGAAACCTTCTCGGAGGTCCCAACGGTATTTTTTAAAAATGTAAAACCTTCTCGGGGGTCCCAACTGTCTTCTTTTAAATGTAAAACCTTCTCGGAGGTTCAACTGTTTTTTCTAAAAATTAAAACTCTCTCGGAGGCGCGAAATGTCTTTTTTAAGAATGTAAAACCTTCTCGGGGGTCCCAACTGTCTTTTTAAAAAATGTAAAAAACCTTCTCGGGGGCCTCAACTGTCTTTTTTTTAAATGTAAAACCTTCTCGGGGGTCGCAAATGTGTATATTTAAGAATGTGAAACCTTCTCGGAGGTCCCAACGGTATTTTTTAAAAATGTAAAACCTTCTCGGGGGTCCCAACTGTCTTCTTTTAAATGTAAAACCTTCTCGGAGGTTCAACTGTTTTTTCTAAAAATTAAAACTCTCTCGGAGGCGCGAAATGTCTTTTTTAAGAATGTAAAACCTTCTCGGGGGTCCCAACTGTCTTTTTAAAAAATGTAAAACCTTCTCGGGGGCCTCAACTGTCTTTTTTTTAAATGTAAAACCTTCTCGGGGGTCGCAAATGTGTATATTTAAGAATGTGAAACCTTCTCGGAGGTCCCAACGGTATTTTTTAAAAATGTAAAACCTTCTCGGGGGTCCCAACTGTCTTCTTTTAAATGTAAAACCTTCTCGGAGGTTCAACTGTTTTTTCTAAAAATTAAAACTCTCTCGGAGGCGCGAAATGTCTTTTTTAAGAATGTAAAACCTTCTCGGGGGTCCCAACTGTCTTTTTAAAAAATGTAAAACCTTCTCGGGGGCCTCAACTGTCTTTTTTTTAAATGTAAAACCTTCTCGGGGGTCGCAAATGTGTATATTTAAGAATGTGAAACCTTCTCGGAGGTCCCAACGGTATTTTTTAAAAATGTAAAACCTTCTCGGGGGTTCAATTGTCTTTTCTAAAATTTAAAACACTCTCGGAGGCGCCAAATGTCTTGTTTAAGAATGTAAAACCTTCTCGGGGGTCCCAACGATCTTTTTAAAAAATGTAAAACCTTCTCGGGGGGGTCCCAACTGTCTTTTTAAAAAATGTAAAACCTTCTCGGGGGCCCCAACTGTCTTTTTTTAAATGTAAAACCTTCTTGGGGGTCGCAAATGGGTATTTTTAAGAATGTGAAACCTTCTCGGAGGTCCCAACGGTATTTTTTAAAAATGTAAAACCTTCTCGGGGGTCCCAACTGTCTTCTTTTAAATGTAAAACCTTCTCGGAGGTTCAACTGTTTTTTCTAAAAATTAAAACACTCTCGGAGGCGCGAAATGTCTTTTTTAAGAATGTAAAACCTTCTCGGGGGTCCCAACTGTCTTTTTAAAAAATGTAAAACCTTCTCGGGGGCCTCAACTGTTTTTTTTTTAAATGTAAAACCTTCTCGGGGGTCGCAAATGTGTATATTTAAGAATGTGAAACCTTCTCGGAGGTCCCAACTGTCTTCTTTTAAATGTAAAACCTTCTCGGAGGTCGCAAATGTGTATTTTTTAAAAATGTAAAACCTTCTCGGGAGTCCCAACTGTCTTCTTTTAAATGTAAAACCTTCTCGGAGGTCGCAAATGTGTATTTTTAAGAATGTAAAACCTTCTCGGGGGTCCCAACTGTCTTTTTAAAAAATGTAAAACCTTCTCGGGGGCCTCAAATGTCTTTTTTTTTTAATGTAAAACCTTCTCGGGGGTCGCAAATGTGTATATTTAAGAATGTAAAACCTTCTCGGAGGTCCCAACGGTATTTTTTAAAAATGTAAAACCTTCTCGGGGGTCCCAACTATCTTCTTTTAAATGTAAAACCTTCTCGGAGGTTCAACTGTCTTTTCTAAAAATGAAAACTCTCTCGGAGGCGCCAAATGTCTTTTTTAAGAATGTAAAACCTTCTCGGGGGGGTCCCAACTGTCTTTTTAAAAAATGTAAAACCTTCTCGTGGGGCCCAACTGTCTTTTTTTTTAAATGTAAAACCTTCTCGGGGGTCGCAAATGTGTATATTTAAGAATGTAAAACCTTCTCGGAGGTCCCAACGGTATTTTTTAAAAATGTAAAACCTTCTCGGAGGTCCCAACGGTATTTTTTAAAAATGTAAAACCTTCTCGGGGGTCCCAACTATCTTCTTTTAAATGTAAAACCTTCTCGGAGGTTCAACTGTCTTTTCTAAAAATGAAAACTCTCTCGGAGGCGCCAAATGTCTTTTTGAAGAATGTAAAACCTTCTCGGGGGTCCCAATTGTCTTTTTAAAAAATGTAAAATCTTCTCGGGGGCCCCAACTGTCTTTATTTTTAATGTAAAACCTTCTCGGGGGTTGCAAATGTGTAGATGGCACTAATTATGTTTGCATTAAACTTTTAAATACTTTACCAAAAAAAAAAATACTGAGGAATCATCCAAAATTTTCTTGAAACATTTAAAAGCGTATCTAATCGAGAAGGCCTTTTATTCATTAGAGGAGTTTCTAAATAATAATTTTGATCACTTAGTAGTGCAGTTTAACAATTCCTAACTTATCGTACATTTCATTATTAGATTATACTATATTGTATTAATTAGGAAATTGTATTTTAGAGTTGATATTAATTATTATCGATCCATAATGTTTTCTTTTCTGTGACGTGTGTAAACTTATGTTTTTAGCACAAATAAAATTCTATTCTATACTATATTTAATAAGGTGAAAGCTTCTCGGAGGTTCCAACGGTATTTTTTAAAAATGTAAAACCTTCTCGGGGGTCGCAAATGTGTATTTTTAAGAATGTGAAACCTTCTCGGAGGTCCCAACGCTATATTTTAAAAACGTAAAACCTTCTCGGGGGTCCCAACTGTTTTCTTTTAAATGTAAAACCTTCTCGGAGGTTCAACTGTCTTTTCTTAAAATTAAAACCTTCTCGGAGGCACCAAATGTCTTCTTTAAGAATGAAAAATATTCTCGGGGGTCCCAAAGGTCTTTTTTAAAAATGTAAAACCTTCTCGGGGGCCCAACGGTCTTTTTTAGATATGTAAAACCTTCTCGGGGGCCCCAACTGTCTTTTTTTTAATGTAAAACCTTCTCGGGGGTCCCAACTGTCTTCTTTTAAATATAAAACCTCCTCGGAGGTTCAACTGTGTTTTCTAAAAATTAAAACCTTCTCGGAGGCGCCAAATGTCTTTTTTAAGAATGTAAAACCTTCTCGGGGGTTCCAGCGGTTTTTTTTTAAAATGTAAAACCTTCTCGGGGGCCCCAACTGTCTTTTTTTTAAATGTAAAACCTTCTCGGGGGTCGCAAATGCGTATTTTTAAGAATGTGAAACCTTCTCGGAGGTCCCAACGGTATTTTTTAAAAATGTAAAACCTTCTCGGGGGTCCCAACTGTCTTCTTTTAAATGTAAAACCTTCTCGGAGGTTCAACTGTCTTTTCTAAAAATTAAAACCTTCTCGGAGGCGCCAAATGTCTTTTTTAAGAATGTAAAATCTTCTCGGGGATCCCAACGGTCTTTTTTAAAAATGTAAAACCTTCTCGGGGGCCCAAACTGTTTCTTTTTTAAATGTAAAACCTCGGGGGTGGCAAATGTCTTTTTTAAGAATGTAAAATCTTCTCGGGGGTCCCAACGGTATTTTTTAAAATTGTAAAACCTTCTCGGGGGTCCCAACTGTCTTTTCTAAAAATTCAAAGCTTCTCGGGGCCGCCAAATGTCCTTTTTTAAGAATGTTAAACCTTCTCGGGGGCCCAAACTGTCTTTTTTTAATGTAAAACCTTCTCGGGGGTCGCAAATATGTATTTTTAAGAATGTGAAACCTTCTCGGAGGTCCCAACGGAAAATTCTTCTTATATTTCTGTTACAAGGAAAAAAACCGCCAACTTCGACCACGTTCTAATAAATATATTTTAATAAGAATAATTACACAATCGTAGTATGTACATATATACACCTCCCTCACTTCTCCCTTCCACTAAACCCCACCGTCCTCTTGCCCACTTCCCCCACTTGCTTCTGACTCGCCTCGATCTCATTCGCTAGCGCCTCTGCCAACACCTGCGGACTCGGTACCACCTTCAAATAATCCCCAATCAAATCCTTAGGATTCTTCCCGCCTCCATGCGCCAGACACTCCTTCCTATACTTCTCCCCCGCCCCCCGACTCAGCGGATCCCTCTCGAAATAGCTCTTCCAAATCAAGTACGCCAACGCCCTCGACACCAAATACGAGTAGTACTTCGCCCCATACCCCACCAAATGACTAAACCTCAACTGCCACGTGGTACTCGCCACGTACGGCAACCCATAGAACCCATTCTGCGTCCGCGCCAGAATATTCGTGGTCGTCCCCTCCAGCGGGTGTTTCCCGTGGTAAATCTGGTCCAGCGCGGCGTAGAAAACCTGCAGCTGGGTCTCGCTCGCCGCGAACAGGTTCTTCGAGGCACACAGCTTCTGGAGCATTTTCTCGGGGATGGGTTCCTTGGTTTGGAAGTGCTTGGCGAAGAGCTTGATGACGCGCGGGTCCGACGCGAAGTACTCCATCAAGATTGACGGCACTTCGGCGAAGTCGGTACTGCAGCGAGTACCCGAGACGTGCTGGTAGCGGGTTCGTGCCAGCATGGAGTGCATCGCATGACCCATTTCGTGGAAGAGGTTGTCGACCATGTTGGGAGAGAGCAAAGTGGGGCTGGACCAGCGTGGTAGAGAGAAGTTTAACATGAGGACGACGATGGGTAGTTGGTACGACCCATCGGGGAGGATTTTCCCGCCGCGGATCGTGAAATGGCAGTCTTGGTTGGGCTTGAAGTTGCGCTCGTAGAAGTCGCAGTAGATGTATCCGAGTAACCCTTCGCTTTCGTGGACCACTTCGAGCTTATACACGTCTTTGGACCAGGTCTCACCGGAAGCTATTTCTGAATTGACTAAAGAAATCCCGTATAGAGCTGTGAAGATGAGGTTGAGGCCTTCCATACAGGCACCTAGAGAGAAGTACGGCGAGTACTCCTTCGTGGAGACTTGGAATCTGTCCCGTTTCGCCTTCTGGGTGAAGTACGGGACGTCCCAGACAGCTAGGGGGCCACAATGCGGGTTTTCCTTTTGTTTAAGGAGCGCTATATCTGAGAAATCGGAAGCAGCTTTGGACCGGATGTTGTCCGAGACGGTTTCTAGGAGTTCCATTACGTGCGGGGGGGTACTCAAAATGCTGCCACGAAGAGCGCGTTCGCTATAGGTACTGAAACCACAAGCTTTGGCAAGTTCGTCCCGTGACGACAACAACTGATTGAGAAGGTACTCCTGGTTTTGATCAGGGTAGAGGAAGATCTTGTAGGCCATTTCACGAACGAGGGGGTTGGAAGAGTCGGCGTAAAGACCCGAAATCACGACTTTGTCGCCATCAGTGGAAAATCTAAACCTACATTAAGACACATTCAACCTGTATAAAATTATACTTACACGTCCCGCACATTCTCCGGAAGCACGCTTTGTTTGACAACCTTGGGGTTGGAGATTCCGCTCAAAAATTGCTGCCCAGCACACAAAATCTGGTTATTTAGTTCAACCACGAGATTGCGTTTCTTCTCACATAGATGTATCCCACACTGTTCGAAATCAAACAGAAATAACCGCCCCACGAGCTGATCGACCCTACTAGTTGGCACGATATCCGAGTTATCGACGGCGAGCTTCAAAGCTTTGTACATTTCGACGTTTGTGTTCAGCTTTTCCACTAATTTGCTTATAGCTAAACACGTATGCTCCGCTGCGCTACTGTAATCGGACGCAGGATGGGCAAATCTGATAAATTCCGCCAAGTCGGCCACTTGACACAAAGAGTCGGACAGTTCGTCGAAAATTTCCACCATTTTTCGTTGTCGCTCGGGGGATAGGGCTTCCTGTACCAAGTCGTCCGTTTTCCGAATACATTTTTCAGTGACTGTGTAGAAGCCTTCGTGCGTTGTAAGTTGAGGCACTCCGAATAAACCCTAGAAAAAAAGTGTGAAAATGCAGCTGCGTATCGAAAGAAACACGACCCTACCACATTTTTTGGCACTATATCAAGATTCAGGCCGGGTTTAGCGTTGAAGATTTTTTCCAAAGCTGACCACCGACTGACGTTGAAATTGGAGATGGTGTACACCTTCGAGAGTTTCCGACAGAAGTTTTGTGCAAACATTTTGTTACTTGAGTTTCGTTACTGGTGTTCAAGTCTCAATACACAAAGAATCATGATATGGGGGCTGTCGTTGATTCTAACCTAAAAATGCAAACTTGTTAAAACTTACCGAACAGAAGACACGCAAACTTACGACGCGACGGCGGTCTGAAATGAGTGTGAACGAGATTTTTGAGTCAAAATGAAAAAATATTGAAATTGGAGGTTACAAGATGTTTGACGTTTCTGTGGTCTCCGGTCGCGCGGTCGTGGTTTCTTTTATGATATGAATATTTTATTTCACTTTAGACATACCCGTTCTCGATTTAAACTATAAAATATGTTTAAAGAAAGTTAGCTAACGTTTTCGCCCTTGTGATAATTATTATTACTACGATAATTGATAATTAAGATTTTTTTTCGACGATACGTTCAATGTACGGAACGACTTGCGCAAGTTCATTCTTGTTTCGACATCCATGACGTCAGTGTTTAATGGCGGAAGAACTTTGAGTTCGTATTTTTTTTTAAAGGAACTAATTTGAACGATTAAACCGGTTTTATAAACGTAAAATGACTAATTGCACACTTTTCGGGGTTAATTTTGTAATTGTTGGTGTTTTGTGTGGTTTTAATGTGTGCTAATCTGACCGAAGTTTGGTGTGGATGAAACAGCAATTAGAGAAGTTATGGTGAGATTAACAGATTATTTATTGTTTATTTATTATTATCTGGATTATGGGTCTTAGTTTGAAACATTGTTACTCAAGATTTAATTCAATTTACGTATTTAATTTAATCATAACTCACGCCTATTATGTATATGGAAAGTGGAGGATTTAAGTTGACTATTACAAATATTTACAATTTTGGACATGTTTTAAGTTTCTTGTTGTCGAAATAAGTCTGCAGATATTAAGAAAGAGAGGCAAAGTGTAGCCCCGCCCACCCACCCTATCTCAATTCTGATGAATTTTTTTTTATTCGTCGTGAGCCAAGGGGGCGGAGCTTAACTGCAAAATCTCTATTTCTCTACGAGAAATTAAAAACATGTTTTTGAGTATCGTGTTCTTCAAAGAATATTATGTATATCAATAAAAAAATATAGCCCCGCCCCGATCTCAATTCTCAATTGTGATGAATTTTTCATTTGTTGGCAGATCGACAGGCGGGACAAGATCTATATTTGTCTACAAGAATTTATCATTTTATACATGTTTTATGTTTCTTGCTCTGAAAAGACGACTACGTATATTAAGAAAAACGGCAAAATATAAGCCCCACCCACCCACCCTGTCTCGAGTGTGATGATTTTTTTTTTAATTGTGTTTCTCTACAAGAATTTACCATATAAGACATATCGTTTTGAGTATCGTGTTATTCAACGAATACTAGGTATATTGAAAAAAAAAAATTAAAGCCAAAATTTAAGCCCCCCCCCCATGCCTGTCCTGATCCAAATAGCAATGGAGTTTTCATTAGTTGGCGTTCATCACAATTGAGATGGGGTGGGTGGGCGGGGTTTAGATTTTTTGCCTTTTTTTCTTAATGTACATAGTATTCTTTGAACAACACGATACTCAAAAAGATGTTTTTAATTTCTTGTAAAGGTAGAAGTTCTAGAGGTTTTAGAGATTCTAGAGATGGTGAAGATTCTGGTAATTCTGTAGGTGTTAAAGACTCTGGAGGTTCTAAACATTCCAAAGAATTCAAGGGTTTAGAGTTTAGCAGTTCCAGAAATTCTAGATATTCTAAAAATTCAAGGAATTCTTGACGTTTTAGACATTGTAGAGGTTCTGGGGATTCTCTAGGTCCTGAAGATTCTGGAGATTCTAAATATTCTAGAGATTTTAAAGATTCGAGAAATTCTAGGAATTCCAAAAATTCTAGAGATTCTACAGGTCCTAAAAATTCCATGAAATCCACAGCGGTTCCAGCAATTCTAGAGATGCTAAAGATTCTAGAAGCTCTAGAGGTTTTAAAGAATCTAGAAGCTCTGGAAAGTCTGGAAATGCTAAAAGTTCTATAGATTATAGAAATTCGAGGAATTCTAGACATTCTAGAGATTTTAGAAATTCTACATGTTTTAAGGTTCTAGAAATTTTGGAAATTCTGAAAATTCTAGATAAAATTATGGACAGGCAAAAGATTCTGGATTCTAAAGATTCTAGAGGTTCTAAAGATTCAGCAGATTCTAAGGATTCAAGAATTTCTAAAGATTTCAAAAATTCGAGAGATTTAATGAAAATTAAATTAAAATTTTCTAAATTCTGAAGATACTAAACATTCTAAGGAGTTCAAAAAATCCAAAGTTTTATAGTTTAATGGTTCTAAGGACTCCAAGAAATCCAATTCAAGCGGTTCTAGTAATTCTAGGAATTAGAGATTCTAACATTTCGAAAAATTTTAGAAATCCGAAAAATTATAGAAATTTTAAAGCTTCTACAAGTTCTAGAGATTTTAGAGATTCTAGAGATTATAAAGATTCTGATGGCTCTGTAGATGTTAGTTAAAGATTCTCGAGATTCTAAAAATTCCAATAAATTCAAGGGTTTAGAGTTTAGCAGTTCCAGCAATTTTAGAGAATAGAGATTCTAAAAATTCGAGAAATTCCGACAATTCTAGAAATTCTAAAGATTCTAGAGATTCTACAGATCATAAAAGTTCCAAGAAATACACAGCGGTTCAGCAATTTTAGAGATTCTAAAAATTCCAATAAATTCAAGGGTTTAGAGTTTAGCAGTTCAGCAATTTTAGAGATTAGAGATTCTAAAAATTCGAGAAATTCCGAAAATTCTAGAAATTCTAAAGATTCTAGAGATTCTACAGATCATAAAAGTTTCAAGAAATTCACAGCGATTCCAGCAGTTTTAGAGATTCTGAAGATTCTAGACGCTCTAGAGGTTTTGAAGAATCTAGAAGCTCTGGAAATTCTTGAAATGCTAAAACTTCTGCAGATTATAAAGATTCCAGAAATTTTAGAAATTCCAAAAATTCCAGAGATTCTAGAAAGTCCAAGGATTCATATCATAAGAGTTCTAGAACATTTGAAGATTCTAGAAAAATTTATGGAGAGACAAAAGTTTCTGAATTCTAAAGATTCTAGAAGTTCTAAGGATTCGATAGATTCTAAGGATTCAAGAGATTCTAAAAATTGCAAAAATTCGAGAAACTAAAGATTCTAGAAATTCTTGGAATTTTCGAGATTCTGAAGATGTGAAAGATTCTAAAGAGTCCAAGAAATCTAAAGTTTTATATTATACCGGTTCCAGAAATTCTAGATATTGTAGTAGTTTTAGAGCTTCTAGAAGTTCTGGGAGATTCTAGAGATGCTGAAGATTCTGAAAATTCTAATGGTTCTAAAGACTCCAAGAAACCTAACTCAAGCGGTTCTAGTAAATCTAGGGATTAGAGATTCTAAAGCTTTGAAAAATATTAGAAATCCGAAAAATTCTAGAAATTTTAAAGTTACAAGTTCAAGATATTCTAGAGATTATGAAGATTCTGGTGATTCTTTAGATGTTACTTAAAGATTCTGGAGATTCTAAAACTTCCAATAAATTCAAGAGTTTAGAGTTTAGCAGTTCCAGCAATTCTAGATATTCTAAAAATTCAAGGAATTCTATACGTTTTAGAGATTGTAGAGGTTCTGGGGATTCTCTAGGTACTGAAAATTCTTCAGATTCTAAATATTCTAGAGATTTTAAAGATTCGGGAAGTTCTAGGAATCCAAAAATTCTAGAGATACTACAGGTCCTAAAAATTCCATGAAATCCACAGCGGTTCCAGCAATTCTAGAGATGCTAAAGATTGTAGAAGCTCTAGAGGTTTTAAAGAATCTAGAAGCTCTGGAAAGTCTGGAAATGCTAAAAGGTCTGTAGATTATAGAAATTCGAAGAATTTTAGAAATTCTAGAAATTCTACAGGTTTTAAGAATTCTGAAAATTCTAGAGAAAATTATGGAAAGACAAAAGATTTTGGATTGTAAAGATTCTAGAGGTTTTAAGGATTGAAGAGATTGTAAGGATTCAAGAATTTCAAAAATTTCAAAAATTCGAGAGACTTTAATGATGCTAGAAATTTTTAAAATTTTCTAGATTCTGAAGATGTTAAAGATTCGAAAGAGTTCAAGAAATTCAAAGTTTTAGAGTTTCTGAAGACTCCAAGAAATCCAACTCTAGTGGTTCTAGTAATTCTAGGGATTAGAGAATCTAAAGCTTCGAAAAATTTTAGAAATCCGAAAAATTCTAGAAATTTTAATGTTTCTACAAGTTCTAGAGATTATGAAGATTCTGGTGATTCTGTAGACGTTAGTTGAAGATTCTGGAGATTCTAAAAATTCTAATAAATTCAAGGATTTAGAGTTTAGCAGTTCCAGAAATTCTAGAGATCCGAGATTCTAAAGATTCGAAAAATTCCGAAAATTCTTGAAATTCTAAAGATTCTAGAGATTCTACAGATCGTAAAAGTTTCAAGAAATCCACAGCGGTTCCAGCAGTTCTAGAGATTCTAAAGATTCTAGACGCTCTAGACGTTTTGAAGAATCTAGAAGCTCTGGAAAAAAAAGATTCCAGGAATTCTAGAAATTCTAAGGATTCATGGTTTAAGAGTTCAAGAAATTTTGAAGATTCTGAAGATTCTAGAGGTTCTAGAAATTCTAGAGAAAATTATGGAGAGGCACAAGTTTCTGAATTCTAAAGATTCCCGAAGTTCTAAGGATTCAACAAATTCTAAGGATTCAAGAAATTTTAAAAATTGCAAAAATTCGAGAGACTAAAAATTCTAGAAATTCTTGGAATTTTAGAGATTCTGAAGATATTAAAAATTCTAAAGAGTCCACAAAATCTAAAGTTTGAGAGTACACCGGTTCCAGAAATTCTAGATATTGTAGTAGTTTTAGAGCTTCTAGAGGTTCTGGGAGATTCTAGAGATGCTGAAGATTCGGAAAATTGTAATGGTTCTAAAGAATCCAACAAATCTAACTCGAGCGGTTCCAGTAAATCTAGGGATTAGAGATTCTAAAGTTTTGAAAAATTTTAGAAATCTGAAAAATTCTAGAAATTTTAAAGTTACTAAAAGTTCTAGACATTTCAGAGGTTTCAGAGATTATGAAGATTAGAAATTCTAAAGATTCGAGAAATTCTAGCAATTCCAAAAATTCTAGAGATTCTAGACATTACGAAGATTCTGGTGGTTCTATAGATGTTACTTAAAATTCCTATAAATTCAAGGGTGCAGAGTTTGGCAGTTCTAGCAATTCTAGATGCTCAAAAAATTCTAGAAATTCGAACTTTAACCATGTTTTAAGTTTCTTGTTGTGAAAATATGACTATATATAATTAATAAATTGAGAAAAAATAAGCCCCACCCACCCACCCTATCTCAATTCTGATATATTTTTTTATTCTTCTTAAGCCGAGGGGCGGAGTTTAATTGAAAAATCCTTATTTTTCTAGCAAGTGAAATATGTTCTTAAGTAATCGTGTTATACAAACAAAACTAAATTTTTTTATTAAAAAAGAAAAGCAAAAGAGAAGCCCCACCCATCCGTCTCGATCTCAATCGTGATGAATTTTTCATTCGTTGTCAGATCGAGGGGCGGAGCGTAATTGCAAAATCGATATTTCCCTACACATATTAAAACAAAAAGGCAAAATGTAAGCCCGCCCACCCGCCTGAACTCAATTGTGATGTTTTTTTTTTATTCGTCGTAAACCAAGGGGGCGGAGCTTAATTGCAAAATCCTTATTTCTCTACATGAATTAAAAAACATGTTTTTGTGTACCGTGTTGTTTAAAGAATATTATGTAAGTTTTTAAAATAGATTTTAACACTTGAATTTTCTTAAAAACTGTCTACACTATAAATGTTCATATGTATTGGTGGTTGCATATATTAGGTGAACTGGTTGACTTGATTTTGTTCTGTAAAATGGGTTGCCTACAATACTCGAGTACACTTCTAAGAGAAGATAGCGATTTGTAGTCCTGCTTTAACATAATAGATGGCGCTACTGCATTCGAAAGTAAAATCCTTATCTACCGTATATCGTTGCTATACGGTTTTTTTTGTTTATGTATTTGAAAACAATAAGACAATAGGCACTACTGTATAATGGCATATATAATAATTATTACCATAAAAATTGTTATTGTTTAACTGTTTTTTTATGACCAAAATGTCAACACGTGTGTGACGACCGATAAGACCATCACATGTTACTTATTTTTTCTTAAATTCTTTAAATTTAAGCTTTTGGTTCTAATTTGGCCAGTAAAACACAGCAAAAAAGTAAAAAAGACTCGTTTCGATCTCTTCTGCAGCGATTTTTAGGTGTTTTCACTTTTAAAATTAATTCGAATAATGACACAAATGTTTATCCACAATTTTTTGTTTTATAGAAATCAGGACTTCGAGCAATAGGTACAAAATTTGAAATGACATAGTTGAAATCCTACAGTTTTCCAACATTAACACAAAACGCGGCAGAAATTCGTCAAGTTAGTACCAATAAGTGCATGTAGTACCAAAAAAAAAAAAAAAAAAACGGCGCAGTGAGACGATGTGAACCAAAGCGGAACATAAGTAGACCGAGGAGAGTGGTTTTAATAATTCAAATATTGTTAACAAGTGGTGACATTCTAATTGCCAAAAGTGGTACCTTCTCTCTCCTTAAAAACCCATTTTGACAATACGACAACAAACCAATTTCATGTTTCATAAGCCAACTAACCACGCTCTCTCTTTTTTCTGATGCGCGCAAATTTGAATTTCAACAGTCCCTTCTCGCTATTAAGGTTATGTCTGACGTCCGAACTATGTTATTGGAGAAATTGGCACTCGCCTGCCAATCACATCCGACTGACGTCTGTTGTTATGGTTACGCAAGTCAGCTGACGTAAATCCCCGCTTCGATTGGTTATTAATCAGGTTGACACGAGGTTCCGAATTTATTACTTGACGTGCTTCGGGAATCCCATCGACAATCGCTACAGAATTATGAATGCTTTCACCAACTAGTGGCTGCGAATTATGTATGCATCTAGGTGACGCTTTGATAGTTTGATTTATTGATTAGAAACGTCGTTAAACGTGTCGATGCATCCGAAAATACTCGTGACTCACGCCGAAGAAAAGACTCATTTACTCTAGAATAGTTTATTAGTTCTTATCAAATAATAATTGTATAAAAGCATTATTTTTTATGACTAGGGGATAAATTATGTAGTCAAGGCCTGATAAAACTTAAATACAATGTATCACAGACATCACTCATCTGAAACATCTAAGGTCTGTCATAATTATGGATTTGTACAATTTAAACTAACTTCTTCCGATTAAGATATCTATATATTTTCTACAGAATCCTTTGTTTTTTCGCCGACTCGCTTGTAAAGCGTCTTCTTTGTATTTCCTCCAGCTCTCGCACCTCGCGCGACCTGAAGGCCCCCAGTTCTCGTGACCGAACGTCTTTTTGCAGGCCTGTAAGAAACCCGGTCATTCACTCTACGTGACGTCAGTGTAATTTACCTCGGCGAAACCCAGACTTCTGTGTTTGTAGAGGTCGAAGAGAATCCAGAACACGAACTGTCCGACGGAGACGCCCAGGATTGCCCACCCGAACGCTAAAAAACAACAATAAAACCAGGAATTTCGTTGCAAGGGACGTAGTACCTAGAATTCCGTCGGGGTAATCATGCCCGGCGTACGTCAGTCGTTGGAACTTGACGCAGAAGTAGATGAAGATGACGATGAGGAACAGCGGGGTGATGACCCCCCAGGTTATGCGCCAGTACGCGCTGACTTTCCTCTTCAACATGAATTCGATGTCTAGGCAGAAGTTTTCCAAACCTAGACACAAGTATAAGAATTGGGATTTCTAGGAAGGGTTACTATTATACCGTAGACCCAAGCCACTCCGATCACTTCGAACAACACGAAGATGAAGATTATGAACGTCCCTCCGTAGTAGTCTACTAGGTTTAGCATGAATTGGCCGCCCTGAAGATATAAGTTAGAACGTCGTGACGTAGCGGAGTGAGGTACTTACAGGTGTTACGTACATCAACCCGATTAGAAACATAGACGAGGCTGTGATTGCCGAAATGTGCCAGCTTTTGAGTTTGGGGAAGATGTCTGCCAGGACCGTGTTGGCGGTACCATGAAGGGCCACCAAGCTCCCGACTCCCAGTACGAACAACATGAAGAAGAACAAGATCGCGAAGAGCCAAGGCACGGCGTCCATTTTTGCTATAGCGTCGGGGTAGGAGATGAAGGCGAGGCCTGCGCCTCCCGAGCTTATAACCTCATCCGGGGTCACTCCAAGGTTGTGGGCCAAGTTTCCGAGAATCCCGAAGATCGTGACCCCCGAAAGGAGCGACGTGAAGGTATCCAAAGTGGTGACGATCAACGCGTCCCTGTTGATATTGTGTTCGAAGTCGTTGTACGACGAAAACATGATAATGGAACCGAAGCCGACGTTCAAGGAGAAGAAACATTGCGTGACCGCGGCATACCACACCTAGCAACAAAAAGTTAAATCGGGGGGAAGTACAAATCTCCGGGACGTACGTCAGCGTCGGCCAGCTTGTCCCAGTCGGTTTTGATAAAGTAGTACATTCCGTTGGCGGAGCCTTCCAAAGTGGCGGCCCGAATTAGGAGAGTGATCATGATGACGTAGGGGAAGATGGCCAAGAAGTAGGCAGCTTTTCCCGAGCTTTGGACGCCTTTCGCGGAAATGAGGAAAGTGACGATCCAGGAGACGAGTAGAGCTAGAGTGAGACGCCACTCAGGGTTTCCGATGCCGGTGCTCAAGTCGGTGCTTTCTTTTAGAACTTCCTTACTACGATGAAATTAGAGCAACGCCAGAGGTGCGACGTAGTAACTTACGTGAAGAAGAGTTCCGAGGAACTTATGGTGGTACCGCTGTTGTTGGTTTTGCCTATTGCTGTAGCGTCCACGCACGTGATGTTGTCCGCGTTGAGTTCTTGTTCCCACTCCGAGGTACACTGTCCCCAAGGTAAATCACCGGTGAAGGAGTTCACGAGATAGAATAGGGTGATGGCCATGAGGGAGCAGTAGTAGGTGGCTACACAAACGGAACCGACTACTTGTCCGTAACCTACTCCTGCAAAAACCTTCAGGGTAAGTGGGTCGTTAGTCGGGGTAAAACGAACCCTTGAGGTACGGAGACAGCGATTTGAAGAACTTGACGTTGCCTCGATTCGAGAATTGTCCTAGAGACATTTCTAGGTAGTACAAAGGGCGGCCTATGACGGTCAGTACCACGATGTAGGGGATGAGGAAAGCGCCTCCCCCGTTTTCGTACGCCGTGAACGGGAATCTCCAGATGTTGCCCAGTCCCACGGACATCGCCACGCAGGACATGAGGAATTCGATCCCGTTGCCCCATGTCGCTCTCTGTTTTTCTTCGGGTTGGTCAAGCTACAAGTGGGTAATTTAATGGGTCGTAAAACTCGGTTATGTGTGATTAAAAGCGAAACAATGGCAATAGTATCGTGTATGCTATCGTAACGATCTATTTATGCGTGGTACTGGGTTCGTAAAAGTACGAACTTAACGACGATTAGTTTATCTAAACCCTGTCGATCCGTGTGGATTACGGGTTTAACGGGGATTAAATCATGTCTGAGGCGTCAAGCAACTGCAAGAAGTACCCCGAGGTCCGAGTGCAATTAAGTGTTGCAAAAGTCTTCGCAGACGTACTAATCTTATCGCTCAGACTATAATTACGAGCTAATCCGTGCAATAAAGCCGGATTAGTTCAAAATTTGTGAGTTCCGAAGTGGTACGTACCGGATCATCGGCTTGGCCATTCGTCTTGATCGTGAAGACTTCGCTCCCTGCCTCGAACGCTGGATTATCTAGCCCCGATTTCTGTAAAAGTAAAATAATGAGCGCGAAGATTACGAAACCGACATTATTACTAATATTTCAGTAGCGTGTCTAATTCATCACAAAAAAGCACTTTCGAAACACTATTACGAATTGATTGGACGAAGCTTTCGGAAAAGGTACCACCGGAATTTCTCCGAATTCTTGTCTTTGTTAATCGGAGAATAATTGGCGCGCGGTTGCCGCACTTCCACAAATCGCGGTAGTACCTTCCAAAAAACAAAAAAACACACATACACGTACACAAAACACCAGCCCCCCTCTTACCTTATCGCCGCTCATGCTGAAGGATGCTTTATCTGACACACATCAATAACAACTGAATTTAAACCAGGCATTTCGCACTATGGTAAAATTACGAAGATATTTAGCGAAAAGTGGTGGGGGCCGCGCGTATTTCCAATTTCATTGTAACTCCTCGATAACCTGCTCGCGCCGCTGCACGTTTTCCAAAACACAACCACTGATCACTCTTTCTGTGCTCGCCGCCGCCGTGGAGGCCGCCGCCAAGGTGGAAAGCGCGCCGCAGGGCGCTCCCCGGGCCCCGGTCTTTCCGCGCCGAAAGTACGGGCGCGCAAAAAAGCGCGCTCGCATTCCTCCGGTTCTGACGCACGAGATGCGGCCGAGTCGCTGTTTTGAAATTCAAATCGCTCGGTTCGCGGAATGGAGGTAATGCAATGAAAGGCAAAGTGGAGGCTGATGGTGTATTACTTTGCGATTAGCAGGTACAACTTTTTCTTGAACCAGTTCTCTTTGACGATGGATTTTTGGGTCTGGTCGGTCTTGAACTGGGTCCAGTCGTCGAAGATGGCGGCGTCTTTGGGTCTCCAGCCGTCATGCTTGAAGGTGGCGAGGACGGCCTGGAACGATTCGGGAAGATTAAGCCGGATTAGCGCGATGACGTTCGAATTATCGAGGATGATTCGCGTTTTTGGAGGATTTATGGCGCCGAAAGAAATGCAAGGGTTGACCTTGGTGCAGGTAGAATTGTTAAGACGGGAGTGTAGGTGCGACGATGAGGATAAATAATGCCAAAAAACTGCATTTGAAACTGGTTTGGTCGCACTTGGACTTTTCACATTTCCGACTGCTGCGCACCGCTGACCTTCTTTATGTTTTACGATTTTATTATTATATAAAGTGAGCACTCAAGGAACCTGCATGGAAAATAACCAGGAACGTTCACCTAATGAGGAAAAAAGCCAACTTTTGTCAAACCGAGTAAATAGAAAACCGTGCTTAAGTGGGATTTGTTTTTAAATAAAAAGTGGATATTTAAACACACAAAGCGGTATTCGATCTCGTTTAAACCAGTTTGGATTAATATTCGTTTCCGCGATTGAAGGGTACGAGATCGAAATTAGGTGTTTCGAGAATATAGCTTCTAATGACTGAGATAAACGCTAATGTGCTTATTAGTCTAATCGACGCATTAGCATTGAACAAAAGTGAATAACAAGTAAAAAAGTACGGTTAATAGAAAGTTGCAGCAAGGAGGAAAACGAAACGTTTTGTTGCAGCCGTTGAAGAAATGGTTGAGCAGATTTATATTATTTTGTTTTTAGACGGGTCAAGGTTGCAAATATACTACAACATGGAACACAAGGTTCTTGCTGAACCAAAATTGATACATACATCAATATTAACTTTAGGCAGTCGATTGTGTCCGAATTGTTTGTTGTTTGTTGTTCACTAAGCAAAAAATCTAATCCAGAATATTACGCTGTTTGCTGTCAATTAGCTGTGATTCAGTTATAATTACTAGCGGACAATAATGGAAGTGTATTTCAGTAAAACACGTTACGGATTTTTAATTTGATCTTGACCTTTCGATTTAGTAAAATGTAACAGAACTATTGATTCAAGACAAAAAATGGTCAAATAGTTTGAAGGTTTTCTTTGTCACTTTGTTTATGGTCAAAAAAACGCAATTCGTGCAATTCTTTAAAACTAGCTTCATCATTCAACAAAATTCTAATCTAATATCGCCATAAAAATTAAGGATATCTGTCTTGTTATCATTACCTTGATATAATTGTCTAGTTTTGGACATTTTTATAAATATAAATATCATTATTATGTTGTTGTCGAATGCAATGAAGGCTACAAATTTTAGATATTTGGCCACGGATAAATAATATTCATTAAAACACTCGTGCGCTGTTTTAAAATTGCCTCAATACGTACATAAATGAAAGTGTTGACGTAATGATTCGTTTTCCATTATTAATGCCTGCTTGTCTCCGATATACCGTGCATGTGTATAGATAAATCCGGGTGAAGTTATTACATCTGTAGTGGTTTTTCCCGGATTACGATCAGTCCTGTTAGTTAACGATCCCAGTGGTCAAAGTAAGTCACAAGAGACTCGGAAAACACTGAAAAATTTTGTTTGACTAATTTCTCTGATTATTTTATTGTAAAGCCTAATTTTGTTTCAAAACTCACTTAGAGCCATTACGGTTCTTAACGTTTCGAGGGGAAAGTTCGCTTTAATTGAGTATATTTCACAAGATCGCTTTAGTTTTGGAAAAACTTTTTTTCGGGGGTTATTTCCAAAGCATAGTGGAACTTTGTACCTCAGCGGAGACGAATCTTTCAAAATGATTTCAGTACAATCGCTAGTTTTTTTCGTTATTTTGTGCGAAAATGCGTTGTCTTGTCGTTCAAAAAGGTAAGAGAAGTGGATTTGGCTGGAAGTGGATGCCTCCAGTACAATCAGTCTGTAAAACCATGGACTGCAAAATATTGCGCTGGTGTTACAAAATTTGGCGACGCATTTTTTTCGCAGTTATATGTTTGTTTATATTTAGTCCTTCTATATGTACTATAAATTATATTAAGAATATAAATGTATGCAAGTTACATTTTTTTTTGTCACCTGAGAACTTGTTTGATCTACAGACCGGAGCGTGCTCAAGCCAATGTCGACTCTAATAAGCGGTCAGAATTTCTGCTAGATGCTTTTATTTACAAACATATATCACATCTCAGATGTTTCACTCGATTTTGACACGCCACTATTTTTTGTTTAACTAAGAGTTAATTCTTTAATTGTGTTAATACTAAAAAGTTCCCTAAATTGATAATGTTGAAAAAATTGAGAAATCGAAATCTTGAAAAATCGGAAAATCTAAAAGGCGAAAAGTCGAAAAATTTTAAAAATCGAAAAACCAAGATGGCTAAATTAGAACATCGAAAAATTGAAAAATAGAAATATTGAAGCAGTGAAAAATCGGGAAATCAAAAAATCTAAAATTGAAAACATTGAAAAATTTATATATCGAAAAACTGTAAAATCGAGGAATCCAAACGTGAAAAAATCAAAAAAACTAAAATTGGAAAATCGAAAATTTAAAAATCGAAACATCGAAAAACTGGAAAAAAAACAAAAAAATCCGGAAATTGAAAAATTCAAATACCTATGGAAGAACTGAAAACTCGAGAAATCGAAAAACCTAAAATTTTAAAAACTGAAAAGTTAAAATATCAAAAAGTTGAAAAGTTGAGAAATCGAGGTATAAAACAGTCGAAAAATTGAAAAATGTAAAGTTTAAAAAACGAAAAATTGAAAATCCAAGAAGTAAAAAGACGAGAAATCGAAAAATCGAAAACTCAAATAGCGAAAAATTGAAAAACAAGAACAATTGAAGAATCGAAAAACTGAAAAATCATAAAAATTGAACGAAATATCAAAAAATTGGGAAATTAAAAAATCGAAAACTTGAAAAACTGAAAGATCGAAACTCATCAAAATAGATTAATTGAGATCGGAAAACTGAAAATTCAGAATCGTCAAAATTTGAAAAATTAAAAAACATTGAAAAACTGAAAAATCGAAAAGTCGAAAAATCTAAAATTTAAAACATCGTAAAATTAAAAAATGGAAAATTCTAACATCAAAATATCAAAAAAATAAAAATTCGAAAATCTAAAATTTAAATGTCGAAAAACTGAAAAATCAACAAATCGAGAAATCGAAAACTCGAGAATTAAAAATATTGGAAAATAAAAAAAATGGAAAAATCAAAAAGCCGAAAAGAGAAAAATCGAAAAACCGACAAATCGAAAAATTCTAAAACTGAAAAATGAAAACAACGAGAAATCGAGGAGTCGAAAAGTTAAAAATGGAAAAATTTATAAATCGAGTTCTCAAAAAATTGAAAAATCGAAAATTTAAAAATTCGGAAGATTGAAAAATTAAAATATACCTAGAAGAAGTGAAAACTCGAGGAATCGAAAAACTTAGAATTTTAAAAATTGAAAAATTTTAAAACATCGAAAAGTTTGAGAAATCGAAATATGAAACAGTTGAAAAATTGAAAAATCTAAAGTTTAAATACGAAAAACTGAAAATCCAAAAAATAAAAAATCGAAAAACCCAGATAAAGAAATATTGAAAAATTCCAAAACTGAAAGAAAAATCCAAAAATTGAGAAATTAGAAAATTGGAAAATCGAGAAATCGAAAATTCTAAAATCTAATACATTAAACAATTGAAATATCGCAAAATTGAAAAATTGAATAATCCAATCATCAAAAAATCAAAAAATAAAAATTCCAAAATCTAAAATTTAAAAATCGAAAAACTGAAAATTCAACAAATCGAAAACTCGTCAATTAAAAAATTGGAAAATTAAAGAATCGAATATTTTTAAAATAGAAACATCGAAAAGTAAAAAATCAAAAAACCGACAAATCGAAACATCGAAACATCGAAAAATTCAAAATCTGAGACATCGAGAAATCGAAAAACCGAAACAAGGAGAAATCGAGGAGTCGAAAAGTCGAGAAGTCGAAAAATTAAGAATGGAAAAACTGATAAATCGCCAGATTGAGTAATCAAAACATCTTGATCATCGAGATCTCAAAAAATTGAAAAATCGAAAATTAAAACATTCAGAAAATTGAAAAACATAGAAGTTTAAAAAACGCAAAACTGAAAATCCGAAAAATAAAGAATCGGAAAATCCAGAAGTGGAAAGATCGAAAAGTCGAAGGAACGAAATATTGAAAAATCCCAAAACTGAAAAATGGACAAATTGAAAATTTGGAAAATTAAGAAATCAAGAAACCAAAAAAGCAAAGTCGAATAATCGAAGAATTGAAGAACTGAAAAATAGAAACTTAGACAAGTCGAGAAATTTGAAAGTCAAGAATAGATTAATTGAGAAATCGGAACACTGAAAATTTAGCAACGTCAAAATTTGAAAAACTGAAAAATAGTAAAACTGAAGAAACGAAAAATCAAAAATAGAGAAATCGAAAAATCTAAAATTTAAAACATTGAAGAATTAAAATATCGCAAAATTGAAAATCAAGGACTCCAAACATCAAAAAAACAAAAAAATGAAAACTCCAAAATTTAAAATTTAAAAATCGAAATACATACTGAAAAATCCACAGATGGGGAAATCGAAATTCCAGAATTTAAAAAATTGAAAAATCGGATAACAGAAAAATCGAAACATCGAAAAACTGGAAAATCGAAAAGCCGAGAAATCCAAAAATCGGAACATCGAAAAATTCAAAAACCGAAAAATCGAAAAATCAGAGTATTGAGAAATCGAGAAATCAAAAAGTTGAAAAATCGAAAAATTTGTAAAAAGAAAAATTGGAAAATCGAAATATTGAAAAATCTAAAATTAAACGAAAAATTTAAAAATCCAAAAAGTAAAAAATGGATAAATAAGAAAGTCCAGGTGTCCAAAAATCGATAGGTCGAAAAGTCGAAATATTGAAAAATCCCAAAACTGAAAGAAATTTAAAAAAAGGAGAAATTAAAAAATTGGAAAATTGAGAAATCGAAAAACTAAAACATCAAAGTCGAATAATTGTAAGCTTAAAAAATCGAAAAACT